GCTTGGCCATCCTCTCCTTGCCCTTGAGAACATCTTCGATGATCTCTTCGAGCTCGTGAATGTCGGCGACTCGAGCGTGGTAGAGACTCTCCGCCAGCTTGTCATCATCGCATGTTGCCAGGAACTGCTGTACGTGTTCTTTCGCGTCGCGACCACACTTCTCGAAGTGTAGACGGGCGGTCCGAGCGTAGCCATTCAGCCTGTTTATGTAGTCTCACAGATGTTCGTTACGTTCCCGCTTTGCAGAGTAGTAACGTGACAGTGCCGTCTGCGTGAACTGTGAGCAGTAGTAGCGGATGAGCGCGTCGCTCAGCAGCTTCCACTTGCGCTTCGTCTTCTTCGGAAGTTGACGGAACCAATGAATGGCTCCGTCCCGGAGACTAAGCTCAAATGGAATGCACCATTTATCGGCATCTGTGTGGGTTCCAGTCATTTCATTGACGAACCCAAGGAGCCACTGCATACAGTTCTCGCTCTTGTTGCGAGAGCCTGAGAACGGCGTGATGCGATCCAGCGGTCGGTGCGAGGCCATTTCAATCCTCGGTGTTGGGTCCACGTCGTTCAGCGTCGCTAGCTCATTCATCTGACGCATCAGCTCGAGTTGAGGATCTTCCTCGTCTAATGTACGCACCAAAATGTCATCGTCACTGGACGAACCATCGCTGTCGACTTGACGACGTCCGGCACCACCTTTGGGAGCTCGTGCACCGCCTCGGCGACCGAACGAACCCTCGTTACTTGCGTAAATACGTTGCATACGGCTCTCCGAACGTGGCGTAACCATGTGCGAGTCTTGAAAGTACGGTGAAGCTTCGGTAGTGCCAAAGGCACCACGCTCAGCTCCACGCTTGGTCGTAGGAGTACGAACGAGTCGTTGGGGCGTCGGCGGCAATGGAATCTTGGACGGATCTTCATCTTGAATCATCGGTCGACTCACAGGTTGCTTTCCGGCATTGATGCCAACAGCGCCAAACGCCTTCCGAAGCTTCTTCTTCCATTTCTGGAGAGCAGCTCCGGCTTCATGTGGACTCCAATCCTGGAGCGAAATCGTCGATGGGTACGTCTCGTTCTCGAACCCCAGCGACAACAGTAGCGAAACTGAATCCTCGACAACTTGGCTAGTCGAAACCGAGTTGACTGGGTATTGAGTTCCTGCGCAAGCGCAGGCCAGTCGGCTTTTTTCTTGGGGATGGGCTTGAACAGCTTCATCCACTCATCATTCTGCATCAGCGCTTGTACGCGGTCGAAAACGCGCTTGGCGGCTGGTGTATCACCGTTGATAGGTGGGCGAGGTGCCTTCAGCAGTGCTGAATGCTTTGCACTTGCCACCGAAGGTTTAGAACCCTCGGTCCCATCGTCATAATCATCGTAGGCTGGTTCTGGTCCCGCAACATCATCGAGCTCGTCGGCGAGGTTCCTCGAAAGGGACCTGGTCGCCCCGCTCAGCCCCGATGATAGCGTGGCCGTCTCCGGCGTCGCTGCGCCTGGCTCTGGAGCCGGCGTCTTGTCTTCGTAATCTTCATAATCGTGAGCGTCAGGACCGATGTCCGCTTCGTCGTCGAAGCTCACTGAAAGCTCGGTGGCGGCTGCAAAGCGCGCAGCCGGGCTTGAACTCTCGTTGCGAGCCCCGCCAGACTTGGCAGGCGTAACTGGTACCGTTGGTTGTCATTTCGCCATATTTCTTGTCTTTTTCTTGTTGTTCTTCTCTTGGTAGTGTGGTGTAGCGGGATCAGCAAAATCTGCGAGATTGCCAGATCCAACTTACCAACTGCGCCCAGACACCGACTAACGGAGGGGGTCCCCCGATGATCCGTGTTCTGCTGAACTTTCCTCACCTTGTGTACCCGTCGGTAGGGCGGGATCTGCTCTCTCGGTAACTTCCGAAGAGTTCAAGTGGTGAAGCTTGAGTGTCTTGGCGAGACGTGGGGATGGGGTGGAGCAGCAGTGGAAAATCTTCACTCTGCGTCCGTGGATGGTTCCGTATCCTAAGCGAATATTCGAGCTAATGGATCCGGGGCCTAGATCGTGGATCTGGCCGTAGGGTTGCCTTGCGGGTGTGTTCCCTTGCCTTTGTGTTGTCCTTTAAGTCGTACTTGCCGCCTCCTGTGACGGGATCTTGAGAGTTGAGAGCCCCTAGGGTGTAACCGACCAAGTAGTAAATTCGGTTAACCTGTCGGATCTGCACAAGTAAAAGAAAAGCTCACTAGGTTGTAGGATCTGGCCAATGTATTATCCAGTTATCACTACCAACACCAGATTCGCAATTCCCAACCTTCTCGGAGCTCGTACGGCCAATGTAGCTCCGGTTCTTGAGGGCAGGAAGGCACTTGCGTGATACTGTGCAAATTGAGGTCTGTATTGATATTTAAGCCTATACCTGCCTGGGTTTCTACCTTCTATGTCTTTCATCTGCTAAATCCCTTACCAGGCTCGGCTGCATGTCCCTTCTTCCCTTGACCCATCATCCCAGCTGTGTTATCTTCAGATCCACCGGATATATGACGTAATCATCATGGTCACCCTATTATGGGTACACTCATCCGGATCCAGGTCGCTTGGATCCACCTCACTGTAATGGTACACTCGCCGTGGATCCGAGCTCTCCAATCATCCAACATCATCTCGCAACCGTCTGTGATCTCCGCTGTCCCACGAAAG